ATTAACAATAAAACTTAGCATATATAACAAACAAAAACATATAAAAGCCCAAATTTGTGATCAATAACTAAAAAAATCATAAACCTACATATATATATTAGCATGTTCAAATCAAATGACTGACAAAGTGACCACCAAGCTTGCAAGTGTAGTGACAGACAAAAGACCAAAACCAGCACAATAAAATAGCAGGGAAAACAAGACATGCACAAAGCACGATGGGGCAGACTAGGACAGGCAAAGATGAATACAAAACAAAATGAAATAGACAAAAAAGAGTATAGGAAGCATGATCCCCACTAGGTCTGATTGGAGGGAAATAATCGATTTATTCCCTCCTATTTCCACTTTTTTTTTTATAAAAAAAAAAGCCTGTTTTTAGAGTTTATTGAAATTGGCCATGTAAGAAACCTAGTTGCACAAGAATTGCACAATTCATGCACAGAACATGATTCATGGTGCGATTCGAGCGCCAAAATGATTTGTTCGTTGATTCACATCGCCAGGAGTGTAAATTGTATCATATATTGTATATTGTATGATACTGATAACAATGATAAATAGTACAAACGAATTAACAACAAAATGATGCAATAACTTTAATTCCTAATATGTGCAACCTAAATTAAAAAGTCTAATTATACACGTGAGTGACCAGATTCCTACTCCTAATATATATAGCATATAGGCCTGATTCCTATTCCTTATACATACAGTATATAATTAAGAAACAATAATAATGACTGATTCCCTTGTTGATGAGTACAGAAGAGGGAAAATTGGATCAAAATGTATAACCCGGTGTCAACCTATCATATTAATTCAATGTCATTGATATTTTGTGGGCATGCAAGGATTTAAGTTAGGAGTCTACACATGGAAGCAAAGTCTAATACCAGGAATTAGACGTAAAGCTACAACAACAGCAACAAAGTCATATTACTCTAGGTGAGGTCAACTGCATAGATCACATGACACTCTTCAGCTCAGTTAAACACAGCAATAGGGCACGTTACTTCCAGGTAACAACCTAGCCTAACAGAAATCTGTTGTGGGTCATCCATGAGCTATACCAGCAAGTTCCACGTTGTCTATCAAAGGCCAAACACAACAGTCTTCCTCTATTATCTGGGACTGGCTATCAGACCATAGACAGAGTTTATAAGAGGTGCAGCGCTAGAACTTCCTAGAAAATCCATCCAACTTAGCTTAAAGAAGGAACACGAGAAAATAAAATTTAAACTGCCACAGATTTGTAGCTGAAGTGACAATTTGTAATTTGTGGAGGTTGTACCTAAAGAAGTAGAGCTAACACACTTAATGACAGGGACCAGAACATCCGTTAAAACACACTTAATGACAGGAACCAAAACGTAATCAAAGTGCTCGTATGGGCCTAAAACAAGTAGTTTATAGATATAGGAATCAAAACATACAAATGGCGAGTATATGAACCAAATGAGTAATTAAGCAAGGAACAAAAAAAAGTGATAACCTTCTGAATTCTTGTGAAAAGTGAGTGGAATGAGATCCTGCAGCTTGAGAGGAGTTCCAGTGACGGGATGTTTACCATACTTTATAACATAGGGAGTTATATGCCTGAAGCCAAATTGCAAAACCAATCAAACAATTGGCAACAAAAGAGAAAACGTATAAATATTGATCTCGCAGAGAGACTCACATAACATCGAAAACACTTCCATCAGCCGTGCAGACGGGTTCCCCAAACGGCGTAAACGTAAGCCTAAATGAAAAAAAGAGTTGAATGAATAAAATGAGTGAAAGGAGAGTAAGAATGAGAATATTAGGTTTGTTATCGTACGCGCAGCAATAGAAGGGAAGGCGTTTGAAGGGAGCGCGATTGTCTTTGGATTTGGCGCCTCCCCATTCGGTTGCCCACTCCGTTTTGGTGATGAACATTCTGTCTTTGCTGTGCTGCTTCTTCCCCATGGCTAGGGTTCCTCGTAATCACAACCTGATGAATTACTTTCTTCTTAGATGCAGTTGCGGTTGCAGTTCAACACACCTATCTATTATATTGTGCTTCAATTTCCGCCGAATTTCAGCAATGCAACAAACAGACTCCGCCAACTCGATTTTCTGCTCTCTCACAACCGACTTCACGGGACTACGCGATTTGCTTAAACACCGCCGTGAAGTGGTTCCTGGACCGGGTTTTTTTTTTGCCATGGACATGTCTTACTAACTCAATTTAAAAGGACTTTTTGAGCCTTTTTTTTAGGAATCTTTTTTTTTAATAACTCTCGAAATGGGGTAAGTTTCTAAAAGGCTCGTCGTATAAACAAATCCCTACATTAATAGTACATTTTATTATTTTTTCTAAAATATTTTTAATATTTTTTATTTTCTGATTTTTTAATTTTATTCAAATATTGACATTTAAAGATTAATTTTTCAAGTAAATAATTAATATTTTTTTATTTTTATAAATATGCTCCTTTTTCTTTTTATAAAAAAATTCTAAAATATCATTCTAATTAATTTCTTATTTGTTGAGAGAGGAAAATATTTGTATTTTTTTAATTTACATCTCTTGAGAGATGTTAGTGTAAATGATATTTTTGTTGTGATTTTTTTAAGGAAGTTAATGAAATTTTAACAAAATTTTTTTAAATGAGTTAAAATATAATTTTCATATCTTTCTAGAGAGAAATGTAACTTATTCAAAATAAAATTGTATAACCTGTATATATAAATACAATTTCTAACATTTTTATTCCATGATAAAGTACGAATGTTTGTTTTTTATATAATAAAATAACTTGTTTTGTATTTATAATCAATAATAATATATAATAAAAGGAATGTCTCTTTTTTATGTTCTCTTCTTCAAAGATGATTAGACCTCTATATTTGTATTCTAATATTTTTTTTTTACCAATATATATATATATATCTAAGAATTAAATAGAAAAAAATACATATACAAAATAGTGACTTTTTTAAAAATAGTAACTACCAACTTATTTGAATAAATATTATTTATTTTAAAAAAATAGGGAGTGTCTTTTTAATAGCTAGTTGATAAGTAAGCATATAGTTTTGTTGATGGATGGGTGCAAATGCATAGAGAACGATGATTTTTTTTAGATGTTTTTACTATGATGGTATAATTTTGTTTCAAAATTTTCGTAATGAGTAATTTTTAAAAAATATTTTGGAAATGTATAAGTCATGTTTATTATACATAAAATTTAACGTAAAAATCATATTTTAAAGCACAATTTCTTTGTTTATAATTTAAAAATATTTTAAAATTTTAAAAATCAAAATCATGTGTAATAACATTACTTTTGTAAATACTCATATTTGTTTTTTTTTATTTATTTGATTTTTTTTACAAAAAAAAATAGTGAAATCGTGCTTGCTCTCATAACTTTTTTTTTTAAATGGGGGTCGGGATTGAAAACACAATTTTCCCTCCCCCTTGTTTTCTTTACTTTTTATGAAAGTCATGACTGAAAAAATGCTTTTAATACATTATTTCTTTTTAGCATTATTGATTTGACTACACTATTAATTTTAGTACATAAATGTGAATGAAATTACATACATTTTACATGTAATATATTTTCTTTTTTGTAATGTAACTTTCTTTTATGTTTGTATATACTACAAATATTTTTTCCAAACTCATGACTATACATATACATCCACAAACTAAAGTTGAGGTAATTATATATACACTCTTAGTGTAAATGAATATATTATCATTTCTACACTTTTCACATTCACTCACTCCATATCACTTTTACACCTTCACTTTAAGAATGTGGCAAATGCTCTACTAAGACCAATCAATGGGTCATTATTGCACTTTTAAAATACTCATATTTCAACCAAAGTATGAGAGGGACTTGACAAATTGATTCATCCAAAATGTCATGCTACATCGGCTTTCAAAATCTTAGCCTCATTAGATCCTATTGTGAGACAATTAATTGATCAATATAGTTTTGATCATGTCCCTACCATTGAAAAAATTGAGATAAATTATCACTTAGTCACAACATTAATAAAACGTTGGAGAATTGAAACACATGTTTCATTTTCCTCATGGATAGACAACTAACACTTTATAAGACATGGTTTTACAACTTAACCACCCAATTAATGGTGAGTCTATCACTGGTTACAACAGTGCTAATTTGGCTCCTGCTTATGAAATGTTACTTAGAGTAATACCACAGAGTGAACACATTAAAGGAAATACTATTTATTTATCATGGTTTAACTCTTTATTCCAACAACTACCTAGTGATGTTAATGAATTAGTCATTGCACAACACGCTAGACCTCGTATAATGATGCTTATAGGTGGATTTTTGATACTTGTTATCTCCTTTGGCAAGTGTACCAAATTGTATAAGTAGTTCAATGAAAGTATGAGTATCGTCTCCCAAGGGACTTGCGCAACACTTTCCAATTTTACTTGTTATACTAACTAAGCTACCAAAAAGCAATAAGAGTTTGATTTGTTGCAGTAAATAATGTAAACAAACAATAACAATTCTTTTTGGTATTTTGGTAAACACTTAGGGTGCAAAACTTGATTCTAATGCAATATTAATAAATTGTTGAGGTTTGACTTCGCTAAACCTTCCTCTTATGTTTATCACTAAGTTCACAGTAGTTATTATTCATAATTTATCAATTACTCTCAAAAGTAACTAACCCTAATCTCTTACAAGTTGGCATCTAAGTTGCTAACTTAAACTATCAATCTCTTGCATAGTTTAACCAAGAAACCAGCTTTAGAAACAAGAGCTTAAGAAAGACCAATGACATTTATTCTATCTTTAGCAATAAGCACCATTAGCTGCTCTATTTCAAGTCAAAGGTTTAAAATCATTTCTCAATCTCTTAAAAACCTTAAGTTCAAGTTAAGGGGTGATTAAGCTATAACAAGCATTATGCACAAAAAAAGAGCAATAAAACTTAATAATAACTTAGATTGATAGCTTAGAGTTTACACATGAGAATGAGTTTAGTTACATCAAACCCCAACAAGGGTGAGTTTAGCTACACATAGACATGTAGAACTCTACAAATGATGAAGAAAGGAAGAAGCTTGATCTTGAAGGTTCCAGAGCTCTCCAGCTGCCACACAAACTCCAAGAATGATCCTCCTTGCTTCCCTCCTTGAAAATCCCACTTTTAGGTCATAAAAACTTTTGTCTTGTGTGAATAATGACATGTCAGCATAATCCACGCTAAGCGTGAGATGCCACGCTAAGCTTGAGGGAAGGTCTGGAGTGAAATGAGGTTATGGGACTCTCATGCTCAGCCCCAATTTCACGCTCAGCGTGGGGAATAAAATTATGTTCCAGGGATTTTTTGCCGAGCTGAGGCTAAGCTTGGATCTGAGGCTTAGCCTAGGGACTTAACCAAAAAAATTTTCAACTTCGAATTCACCACTTTGTGCTTAACTTCCTTCCTTCTTTCCTAGCTTTCTCCTAAACTACAAAACAACACCCAAATACTTGTAAGTTACCTAAAAACATGATTCAAAGACAAAATGTGATCACCTAACAATTTAGATATGTTTTGAATTAAAAATAATGTCTAAAGCAAGGAAAATTGATATAAGTGTTTCAAACTAGGCCATAAACTGAATGAAATCATGACACTTATCAATACTAAATACATCAACATCAAGCATTCATATGATGTATCTGTTATTATTACAAAACTTAACAATTATTAGAAATTACAATTGGAATTCACCAGTATTGACTTTATTAAATTAAACTTTAAATCATGCGATATTATCCAAACAGATAGATATTGAAGGATACATGTTACTTTTGCAATCATAAGCTTACTAAACAGTTCTCAAATGAGGATGTTGAACAAGGATTTGGATAATTTGAATAAAAAGTAAAGAAAAAACAATGAAGCAGGAACCATATTTTCAATCACAATTCCTTTTTTTTTTATATAAATAAATAGTTGTGAGAATAAACACAACTTCATTATTCTATGAAAATAAATAAATAATAATAAATAAAGTTTTTACAAAAATTGTGTTATTAAACACAACTTTAATTTTTATTTTTTTAAATGTCTTAAAATTATAAAATAGAAACACGATTTTTACATTAAATTTTATAAACAAACATATATACCATTATAAAGGAGATACAAGAATATGTAATCGTTTTTTATCTTCACTTTTAGTGGACCATTATACCCCTCAAATATAACACAAAAAAAAATTATATTTTCTTTAAATAATTACAAATAACTTTATAATATTATATCTGTATATAATTATTAGAGGCACAAAATACTTCCACCCCTCCTCTAGTTATTATAAAAGTTATCTAAAACAAAATTACATCATCAGAATAAAATAACTTTTTTCTAGGATGCGGGGAGGAGCAGTTTTGTTGTGCCTCCAATTATGTTGCATACAGACCCGGTGGATGACATTTTATGGGTCTTAGAAAAAATATTAAATTGACATTCTTTAAATATAACTATTAAAATTAAAATATTTTATAAAAAGAAATAAACGCAGATTTTTATTAATTTTGTTTACATCTAATTATATTAAATACATAATATAATTTTAGAGGGTGCGGGTATGATATTAATATGTAGTGCAGTTTTTTTTTAAACAGTTTTTCAAAAGTATCATGTATATACTTTATTAAGTGCAATTTTTACATTTAAGATATATCAAACTTAAATTGTTATATAATATTTTATTGAGTGTAGATTTTTTATTTTAAAATATTTTTTTAATATTTTTTATGAGCTTAATTATGAGTTTTGATTTTCATCCTGTAAACTTTTTTCTTTATTTTTTAGCTTTCTAAATTTTATAAATATTATTTTTTGTTTCACAAGTAAGTTTTAATTTTGATTCTTATATAATATATATATATATATATGTATATATATATATATAATATTTTTTCTAAATCTAAAAACACTTTTGTCCTTAACTATTATTTTAAAAGTAGATAAATATTATCAATTTTAAAAATCTATAATTTTTTTTAGAAGTATCAAACACTAATTTAATATTACTAATAGTTGTCGATAACACATAAGAATGTCACTTTATATTTTAGTCAATGGAATATAGTAAAAAAACGATCACATGAAAAATAAAAACTATAAATAATAGTTTTAATTTTAAAAAGAAAAAAAAAATATTTCACAAAAACCAAGATTAAAACGTGTTAATTTTGAAGGTATCAAAATCATATTTAAACTTTTTCGATGGCATTTTTAAAAACTCAACGACAGTTATTTTCTATAAATAAAAAAAATGACAATTTTTTTTTGTTACATATTTGAATTACAATTAAATAAATTTATTTTAAAAAAACATTTAAAAGTATAAAATAAGTTGAAATTGTTAACATGTGAAAGAAAAAAAATTAGAAAGTACTTTTATTTTTTTCTTAAAATATAAGAGATTAAGGAAAGTGGATTGAATTAAAATTTTAATAAATTTAAAAGACTTTTTTTAAATATAAAAATTCATATGATATTTAATCAAGACAATCAAACTTTCTTGGAGAATCCATCAAAATTTAGTAGTATTCAATTTAAACAATTAGATTTTTTTAGGAGTCCGTCGATATTTAGTGATATTCAATTAAAAAAAATACATAAAAAAATTTGTTAGTATTAAGAAAAATATAGAAATTTTAATAAATTATTTTGAATATTAGTTACAAGGATATTAAAGTTAATTATTTGTCAAAAAATAAAAAAGCGTGTTGAATTTACTTTTTTATTATTATTTAGATTATATATTTTTATTAAATCTTATAGTATTACAAATTCATATTTTTTTATAAAATTTATAAAAATCTTTAAAATTTTATAACATAAATCTATTAAAATTTAAATTATAAAGTCTTGATTAAGATCCAAAATTTAAAAGATATGACATCCCTGAAAATACTCTCCCTTAAAAAGAAAAAAGAAAAAATAACTAAACCCCTTTTTAGTAAGAGGGATACAAGACTGCACTTTCAAATTACCTTCACAACCCGCATGGGTTATAAACATCACACATTATAGCCATAACAACCAAGAAAGACAAACCCCATCCAGAAAATCTCAGACCCGGAGATAACCATTTTTCTCTAAATACGATGTTACTATTTCTGCTGTATCACTCGGAGACATACACTCACTTCCTTTTTGTTTTAATACTATCTGCAAGAGAATGAGAAGGTGTGATCAATTAATGAAAGTTCTGCAGAAGTTTCAAGAGGAAAGCAAATACTGAATTACTCACATTTCATTCTCATTCACAATGTTAATTTTCCCCTTCAAAGTTGGATTCCGGGCAAAGAGAAAAAAAAATTCTTATCGCAAGTCGGTATGGTATACTAAAAAGTCTAAAATCTGTTCATATTATTCCTTTTTTACAACACTAACCACTATGTGTTAGTCTAACATTTATAAAAAGCAAGTTATGCAACAAATACACACCTCACAATTATACGGTGGTTCATATGGATCATCTATTCCTGTGAAACCTGCAGAATTCCAAATAATAATTCAATATCGATGCACAATTCGATCAACAATAAAAAGGGAAATAACCACAACCTGATGTAGATAACTTCGTGAAACTAGTATAGTTAAATAATAACACCAACACATACTTGACTGCTACACATAATACCAATAGTCCAAGAAGATAACTATTAGATGCAAAGCAATAATGCAAAATATTAAACCAAGATACCTTTGATCTTTCCAGCCCGAGCAAGCTTGTAGAGTCCCTTTGGGTCCCTTGCTTCACACACATCTAGTGGCACATCTATGAAAACCTGCAAGACGTGTGGGTTAAGGGTTGTAAACTTTGCATTGACATTGAAAAACCTCGTCTTGTTTAATAATGGTAGTCTTGTGTAGTTGTGTCACCATTATTGGCACTTAACAGATGCTAAACAACTCGCATAATTTGGTTCTTCACAGTAAGAATGTACCTCAATAAAATCTCCCTTTGGCAATAGAGCTCGGCAAGCATCCCTATCCTTTCTGTACGGTGATATTAAACTAGTGATGCAAATAACACCTGCATCTGCCAAGAGTTTTGCTACCTCACCTGAAAATTATTTGTCACGATCGATGTTTGAATATTAATAAACAGTATAGTTATATAGAAAAATACATGCAAGATGGAAAGAAGAACTTTTGTGTACGTATATATGTTCTTATGTAATAACTCACCAATCCTTCGTATGTTCTCTGAACGATCTTCTGCTCTAAAACTAAGATCACGGTTTAGACCGTGTCGAATATTGTCACCATCAAGGATGTAAGTCAACTTTCCTTTGGAGTGCAGACTTCTACTCAAAGCACACGCCAGAGTGCTTTTTCCTGAAATCAATATTTACGACTCTAACTAATCGGAGAGAGAGAAAGAGACAGTGCTAGTATCTATCGTAAAAGAATGAAAGGTAAAGGAGTAATGGAGTATCCTTATATTCTAAAGAAACTACACACAATTGTTGTCATTTTTGTGGTTCACTGTTGTTAGGATACAAACACCTCTCGCATCGATAAAATAAGATAAGAAATAACAACTTATAAGTACAAAAATAATTTAATGGTAAAAAAGCCTTTTGAGTAATAACAAAAAACAAAACTGTGAGGACGGACAATATCTAATTACTGTGGGGTATGCTTATGTAATAATCTTATAAAATATCCCCCAACAACTATCGGTAACTAACTATTTTATAGCAGAGACAATTATTGTTGGAAACAAACGTGACACTGCTTCATATAAAGACCATACTGTAATAGCATTCATAAGCGAATAAAATTTATTTTGAATTGACTGGCTTCCATTCATCGTATCATTCTTATGGGGCAAAATTGGTCAAGTGTGGTTGCATAGATAAGATAAAAGAAGTTGACACTGTAACATGGAAAGAAAAGTAGCAGAGAATGAATGACATACAACAATATGACACTTTATATATGAAAAAGGAGCAATACTTAAATGAATGTCCACTATTTTTGGTTGTGCATATAATTTAAGACAATGGACATTGTATAAAAAATAACATCAAACGCAAAAACTACAAATCAGAACACCAGGCATTTAAGAATGATAAAAGGAAGCTAGGACTCTGTTACTCCACACAATTATGCGCTTATTTCGTCTCGACTGCAATAATGAACTAAAGCGAACATTCAAACAATCACTATTCACTATATATATTTAAAAGTTGACTGAATTTCACAAACCTGAACCACTGAGACCCGTTAACCAAATGACGCAGCCTTTTTGTTGAAGTAGTTGTTGTCTATTAAGTTTCTGGACTGAACATTCGTGCCAAAAAATGTTCACTGAATTCCCAGTATTTGACACGTCGCTGAGATTTTTACCTAACTAGATAAAAACTGGATTAGAAGTACATATTAACTGATTTTAAAAATTTTCATGTAGGATCAGATCTTCCAAATAAATCTATCACTCTAATGTTTCTGTTCTTCATCTCCCTAGAATCACTCAAACTCTCTTCAATGTTTTATAGCAATAAAGGCTCGTTAGCTGATTTTAAGTTGATTGCATAGCAGTAAAGGATCTTAGACGCAACTATTATAAAAATATACTCTTATAATAAACACATCACGTGGTGTCGTGCATAATATGCATTAGGCATTAGCCTTTTAAAGTATTTAACGTTGAACATGTGACCATTTTTTTACAGTGAGAGTTGGCTTTCATTATAAATTTTCATTTTTCAAAGACAAGTCCAAGATTGCGAGCGATCTCATTCTACGCTCCACTGTCTGTAATGATTAAAAACCTAATCATACTCTATTCTGTCAAAAGTATATATATATATATATATACTAGGAATAAGTTTATCTACAATTATTTCGTTTAATAACTTATGTTCTACGTCAAATTTCAACGATCCAACTGTTAAATTTAAAGTTCTTAATGCATAGATCAAATCTACAAATTTTTAAAAATTTAAAAATTATTTAATATTTTATTTTATTAATTCAAATCGACAGATAATCATAAAATTATTTTATATATTAATTTAAATTAATAAAACGAAATATCAAATAATTTTTAATTTTTTTAAAAATTTATAAATTTGATATACGCATTAAAATTTTTAAATTAACGATTGAATCGTTAAAATTTAATGTAGAATATATATGAATTATTAAAACGAATAAATCTATATAAACATACTTTTAGAATAAACTCGATAAATATATATATAAAGAGCAATTAAAGCATTTAAAAAAGAATAAGATTCCAGATGTTGATAGTACCGGATAATGCAGTAGAGTGATTAGTCAAAGGCGTGAATCCATTCAGCTTCTTCACTTGATGTCCCTGGCATTCAGGACTTCCTTCATCGATCAGCGACGCGCCAAGATCTTCCTTGGCCATAATCGGCTTCAACAAGTTTTTACGACTACGGCTTAATCCAGCGACGTTGATTTCGCAGAACTTGGAGAACCCTAACTCATGCGTCGCCGAAGGTCTGTATTCGATGTTCTGGAACACTCCATTACCATACAGTGAACACAGTGCTTGTACAGCGTTCATCTCTACTAACAGAAACGAAATTAGTTGGCAAAAACCAGATTGTGTTAAGCGTTGGCGTATGTGAATTACGACTGATTAAGCTAGGCCTGAAAAATGGAAGATATTGTCAATAAATAAATCAAATAACGAGGTTTGCTAACTTTTATATATATGATCAAACTATACTAACTTGTGAAGGTAGATTTTTCGGTGAATTGTTATTGTTATCGAGTTAGAAGATATTTGCACGACTAGTAAAGTATGTAAAACGTACGGAGTTCAGAATTCGTGTGGTGGTGGCGGGAGCTGAACTGCGTGTCCTGTGTGAGCACGTTAAGGTGGAAAATGACAATGGCGAATTAGAGAATCACTAATGAGAAATGAAGCTTATTTAGATCTTCGAATCGTGCGTGGGATATTGCGTGCTGCCACATCCGTAATCACGATAGATTTGTCACTAAATCACCTTCAACTCTACAATCTACCGCTTTAGGACTCTTCTTAATACATAATCTTTTTATGGGTTATAATTTATTAAAAATCAAGAAAAAGATATTAAAAGATAGTTTTTTAAAAAACATAATATACACATTGTATCAAAACTCACAATCAAAGAAAGAAGAGTATGTTTAAAAGAGTTTTGATGTTGTAGCATTTCTGTAGTTGTTATATTTATTATTTTATTTTAACTTTGCGCTCCAGGTGTCTCGCTCACCTAAACCAATTCGTGGTGAGTTGTCTATCTTAATAGTTTTTTAACTCGCTAAAACGCATGAACATATATTCGATTTGGTTGAGTTGTGTGTCTACTAGTTTTATAACTCGAGAAAAGCACAAAATATATTCTATTTGGTGATAAATATTATAACTATTATTAAGTAAATATAAAGCATTCCTTTTTAGCATTTAAATTATTAATGTATGAATAAACGAATAAAGATATTTCTCTAGAATGCTTGACGTGTGACACTTATCCTAAGAGATGATTAAGTGAAACGCATGGGTGTATATTCCATTTAGTGACAAATATAATAAGTATTATATTAAATAAATATAAAATAGTAAGGTCTATACACAATTTATTTTGGATGTAAAGTTTATATGAAAATAAAATATATCAGCATATACAATAGAAAAAATCAAAATATTTTATTACATTGATTTTTATTTTATGTCATTTAATTATGTTAAAATATTTTATTAAATCGATGTTAAGTGAAGAAAAAAAAAATAGCAAGCAAAAAGAAAAATAAATTGTCTATCTACTCGTTAAAAGGTATTAAGCAGTTGATGTCTTGTAAGGCCACTTGATCTCAATTGTTCTTTTTCTTTAATACCAAACAAAGACACAGTCACACAGAACTGTGTATATATAAAAAGAACTAAAAAGGACAAAGAGTTGTGGTTTGTGATAAAACCGGAGATGTTGAGACTTGTCATTACGCACTGTATATAGATATAGATGTGAGACAATGTATATCCTTTAAGAAAAATAACTGATGCGACACTCGGCACCAGGGTTTGAGTTAAATCAATAATTGAGAATTTAATAATTGATGCGACACTAGCGAAATTTTAGTAATTTTAGAAGAAAACAATCTTACATTTATGAAGAGAATAATAATTACTTTATCTGTCCTAAAAAATAATTTTTTTTAATATTTTTTTATAAAGAAGTATATCTTTCAATAGAATAATTAATCCTTATGAAAATAAAGTGTTATTTCAATAGCTACTTCATATTCAGATCGGAGATGAAATTTTGATCTTTGGTTAAGTATCAATACATTCTTAACATTATAAAAAAAATATCTTTTATTTAGAACTTATTTCACAAAACATTTAAAAGGGTTTATAATTTTTTTTCATTTATTTATAAATTAATTTGACCAAAATATGTTTATTTGCTATAAGTAATTTATTTTAGGAAGGATCAAATTCAATAACAGACTTATTCTATTATCAGAATGAGTAAATTTAATTTTCCATTTTAATTAAATTATTAATATATGTCAAAAATATATTTTATTTTTCACTTGTTGATTTTATATATTAAATACATCGATAATTATTTTCAATATTTATATTTGTCTCTACTGCCCTAGCTCTTAAATCTGTCATTATATTTGAACTCCAATATTTAATTATGGATCATAATTGATTTGCTAACAATTTTTAGTATATTAGTATTATATAAATACATACGGTAACTTCACTTGTTTGTCATTACTAAAATAAAACATTAGATCGTTTTAAGCTTAACATATGGCTCAACTTTCTTTGTTTTCTTTGCCTTAAAAGAAAAATTAGGTAAAAAAATATTTAAAAAAAAACTCTTTAAAGTTAATTAAGGTTATGTTTTATAAAAGAAAAAAACATCTTTCTAAAAGAAAATTGAGTGGAAGAACTTTTAGTAAATAAATAACTTAGATTGGTTTTCTTTATGCTGTCCACTTTAGCTTGCTCACTCCGCTTTCTTTCTTCTAGCTTTCTCCCTACAATCATCTTCCTCTTGAGCGAAAAAATGAAAATTATTAAAGAATTAAAAATGATTTAATCTTCTCATTACTTCTAGGTAACAAAGGTAAACTAGAATTAAACTCCTATGTATAAAATAAGAAAAACGCTAGCTACACAATTTTACTAATAAACACATCCCTTCACACTTTGATGGGTAGCTAGGTAGATATATTCTAAAATTAATTCAGATACAACGATACATGGTGAATACTCCAACAAATAATTGACCCAAGAAATTGATCGTTAGGTTCCAATACTTGAACAAATAAAGTAATTTGAAACGACCTTATCCGAAATATAAAAAGTTAAATTACCAATCGGTACAAAAAGTAACTGACTTGGGCCAGGAAAAAATCTTCAAAACAGCAAAAAAAAAAACAAAAAAAAAGAAGACAACAAACTTTAGTACTCTTGAGTTGTTGAGTCATAATCATAAGTGATAAGACCATCCCCACCCACACTCCTATGTATAGAGTATATAGTATATAGACATAAAAATAAAATGGAAAATGCTTCATCGTCCGAAAGATGGAGCCGAAATTTCTTCCGAATAATTAAAAAATTAATTTAAATAATAAAATATTAGATTAAATAATTATTTTATAATAAATTTATTATAAAATAATAATATTTAAATAATTCGGACAGTAATTCAGAACATCTTTCGGCTTCTGTAGCATTTGCATTTATAACTAACTGTGGTTAGTTGGACGTAGAATTGGAAATCCGAAATGCATTCTTGAGACCAGTTATGAACCTATGGCCAAAAAACCTAGTCATCTTCGGAACCTTGTTTCCGTGGTGACATGGTCCTGCAGACAGAGTATAACTCCCCACTTCATCATCGTTCTTCTTGGTTCCATCTCGAAGCAGAAATCCCGAAGACGAAACAGACCCTCTTCCTCCCCTTTGTATTCTACTACTCTCTGGCGGAACATAATGAAAACTCGCGGAACGCTCCGAGTTCAACGCGTTACTGTTATCAAGAAGGACCTTCTTCATGCCCCTCAGCTCTCTCTCCAGGCTTTGAATGCGAGAGTACGTTGAATCCATGGCCTCTTTGATCTGTGCCGCTTGGCGATGAGCCGTGTCGCGCTGAAGAAATTCTCTTAGTGACGTTCGTTGCTCTGCTTGTTGCGCGCCGCTGGCTGCGGCGGCCACGGAGCGGCGAGTGTTCAGGTGTTCCACTAATATTGCTCGCACCATGAATCTCAGAGGCATTCGTGGGTTTTGAACGCAGTTCACAAGAGTACCACGAGAGAGCTTAGCGCAATCTATGCTGTTGCATATCTCTGTTTTCTGATCCTCCGTTAGGTTACCGTACTTGTTTTCCTTCACACATTTGCCAACATATATTATTATCAAGTAATAATTCATGCACTTTGCAATTCAACATTTTTATTTTTCATGTTATATACTAGGGGTGAGCATTAAACCGACACCCGAACCGAACTCGAAAAACCCGATAAAAAATATTGTTTTTGGATGGGTTCGGGCGGGTCTTATGGGTAAATCGGGTTAAAATTTTGATTTTATACGGGTTATATTAGGCGGGTTCGGTTTTGAATTTTTAAACCCGCCAAAAACCGAACCCAACCGAAAATGAGATAAGTTTAAATTTTTATTACTTTTGTATAACTAAATAACAATGGTCCAAACTTAAAAGTCTTTATTTCAAGTATAATATAGCCATCAATTTGTAACTTATTTTTTTCCTTTTTCTCATAACTTAGATATTTATTTTGTCTTCTCCTTCCTCATTCAACTTCTCAACACACTAGTCCATTTTTAGAGTTATCTTTTTGCTTCTTTCTTTGTCTTTCTTTTCCATCTTCTTATCTCCATTTTGAGTACATTTTGTGTGACTGTGATTTCTTATGGTTTTGTAATCTAACTTTATATTTCTTTTCCATGTAACAACTATGAATTTTGTTATCTTTTATTTTTGCTTCTTTAGTTTGTAAATGTTTCAACTACGAATCTATTTACACCATCTATTGTCACCTTCATTCTATTTTTATACACTATTTTAAAAATATTTTTTATCGTTTTAAGCTTCATCTTCCTTAAGATAAATTGGTTTACAAAAAAATTCAAACCCGATTATACTCACCCGCTTAAATCCGAATCCGTTTCAACCCGAACCGCCTCAAATTGAAAGCTTAGTCGGTCGGATATGGGTCACATTTTTTCAAAGTCGGTTTACAATGGGTTGGACATTTTTCACCCGAACCCGACCAAACCCATCCGTTGCTCACCCCTATTATATACAATGGTTTCGTTATTTGGAGATTATTATTATTTTTTGGTTAGATTTTATAGGTTAAAAATATGAGAAATTTTATGGTACCCATCTTATTTGAGAGGGTACCGGTACAATTTTTTATATTTTATATTTTTAATAATTTATTTAAATAATATTTATGATATTTTATTCTTTCAATTTTTAAATTATTTAGTCATTTTATTTTTATTTTATATATTCTAATTTATTTGTAATAATATTATTATATATTTAAATAGTTTAATTTTAATAATTTTTTAAGTATATTTTTATCTTTTCACTTAAAATTTTTGAATTTCTATATTTTAATTTTAATAAATTTTTAAGTATGTTTTTTGTCTTTTGTCTTAAATTTTTAAATTTATATATTGTAATTTTAATAATTTTTTATTTCTACGATTTGTTAATTTTTTTTTTTAATATTTTATAATATTATTGAAATCTTATAATTTTAATTTCTATAATTTTATCTTACTTTTTATTTTATAAGTATAATTTAGATTATTTATTTTATAATTAAATTAATTTTTTTAAAATTTTTTATGAATTTATATAGAAAAATGTATTAAAATCCCTCAATCTTTGAGGGTACCGTAGCAACTCCTTAAAAATATTCTTCATGTTTCATAATAAGAGGATAAACTCACCATTAATCAGTAATATTATGAAAAGAACATGTTTTTATAGAACATATTTAAATTAGTTGATCGAATTTTTATATGTGACGTGATAATTGATTCATTATTAACACAAATAAACACTTTTAATGTATTTTGCAATATATCTATATTTTCCATTTAGATAATTCTTTTTAATAAATACTTTTTTTATATTTAAACTAAAATTATTAAATCATTTCTTAAAGTATATATAAACATTAGTCATATTTTTTTCTTGAATGATAAAAAGCACACAAAAGAAAATTTTTAATAGAGGAGAAGGAAGGTGAAGAGTTAGAATTTATTTATTTTTTAGAGGAGGAGAGTCACAAGAGGAAATAAGAAATTTTAAAAAATAATTTACTCTTATATTTTTATAATTTTAAATTTAATAAAATAATTAAGAATATTTTTAATATTATATTAAAATATTTTAAAATTCGTCTCATCCAAATCCAAAAAATTGAATTAAAAAAGAAGTGTTTTTAAAATTTTATCTCCTCCCTAGCGAATATTATGTTAAGATTTTGAAATAATTTAATTCCTAATTAGCAGAATAAGAAAAATACATTCATATTTTAATATAATGATTAAATGTACATTTAAAAATTAAAATCATACATTTATGACACGAATAGAGCAAAAGATAGGAGATGAGACGTGGCGTACCTTGAGATAAAGATCAACCATCATGTACAGAACGTCGTGGTTGGGTAACCGTCTATTGAGTGAATACGCAACCGTTTGAAAATCCTGAGGATGCATTTCCACAACCACGTCCAAAAACGTCACGTCGTCTCCTTCCCAAACCAACGCTTCAATACACCTGCTGGCAAGCGACGCTGTCGTTTCGGCTTCGGGAAGCAGAGGCACGCACGAACGCAGAACCCTCGACGCGTCACTGCCAACCACTCTCTCCAAGTACGATTCCGCCACGTCACGCAGACTCTCCCCCACCGTCAACGTCATGCCCAGCATCTCCGCCGCCACTCTCACGGCGGCAACGTTCCTCGCCGTCAAGTGGACTCTGCGCCTGTAACAGAATTCGGCCACCGCGGCGAAAGTCTCCGCCGTTATGTTTAACGGCGGGGAGAGAGCGACGTTAGAGACTCCCGTTAGATGCCGTTTGAGATATGAACTTTGTGATATCATACGATCCTAAAAGCCACGTGAAGAGGAGAACGAATTTAAGGTATCTATCGTACATACGTAACATTGTGACATGTCATTTCATTATTTCATGAATGCTTCATAATAACAAATGAACAAAGTGTTGCACATATTTTTATGTGTTTAAAGGAATGTCCCCTTTTGCTGGGGTTTAAAAGCAGAGCTTTTCAGACAAAGCAAAGAAAGTGAAAAAGAATTGTGGTCAGCACTCAGCATATATGTGTGGTGGGATAAGGATTCCTCTAAGAACAAGAACCATGTATATCCCTTGGTTTCACAGGGTGTTCAACAAAGAACATTGGTGCCTACGTTTAAAAACTTTTTGAGCTACTCAAGGAGGGGTTGGTAGGCCATACCCCCCCTTTAATGTGAGCAAGGGAATTTCCACTTGCAGTACGATGCTTAATCATGCCAAATTCTATAATTTCAAATACATAATTACATTTTTCCCTAATGTCTCTATCAATATTATCTAAGTCACCTTTTCACACCAATCCCAAATTCAATTATATCAATTTTGCATGTATTCAAAAACAAAAAACTAGTGTAGCTAAGAAAAACGTCATATTCTTGCGGTTGCAGCGAAGTTGGTGCATTGATCCAAATACTAAAACAAGAAGAAGCTATAATAATGCAATTTTTTTTGACGGGAAATCGAAGTAAAGGGAAGAGAAGAAATAAAGGGCATTTACGTAACGAAGAGAAAAGAGGTGAATGAGTGACATTATTGGTGAATAATGAATGAACAAACCTTGTGCAGATGAAAAGAGGTTCCTTGAACACGTATCAATACATCTGGTTCGCACCCAGAGTCGAGAGACCTAAACGAATTCATAATTTGATAAAAAAATTTGAGAGGGGAAATAAACAATATTGGGGAAGGAGAACAGGAGGAGCATTTTTATTTTATATAAATAGAAATAATAATAAAGAAATGGTACGAACCACGCATTGATAATGGAGTGGAGGGATGGAGGGGAAGAGGAGGAGGAGGAAGGGGAAAGAGAGGGAGAAGAGAACTCGCGTTCTTCCTCGTAGATGGTCTCAATAGCACCAAATTGGTTCCAGCTCTTCATCTGTGTTGTGTGTCCTTGCCTTGGTTTGGTTTCTATTCCGTTAAATCTTCAAAACCCAAAACACAGTTTTCAAGACTCTCTCTAAATGCTGCTACTGTTATTTTTCCATGGAGTTTATGGGAGCTCATAAATATGGTTTCGGAATGATATTAATGCCACATGTGATGACTCATAAATGCCTGCTTTTATTTGCCTTTGCTTATTTCAATTTTACTTTTTATGCTAAGATAAATTTTCGAATTCAACCATGATTTGTTTGATAAAATTACTGTAACTAATAGCTAAAGCTTATAAGTTCTAAGATTGCGTATGCTTGCGAAAAAAATCTCTGTACATTAGAGAATCAAAAATATTTTGTCAACATAAAAAGTTGTGCAATTAAAGTTATCATTTTTAAATATGCAAATAGTAGTAAATAAAAAATTACCTTAATGTTGTATGTAATGTCAGTTTTATTATAGTCAAATAATGAAATTATTGTACAATAAAAAAGTCACTGAATCACGAACAATTAAGTCAAAACCGTTTCACTCTAGTCTCATGAGTAGACCAATCAGATGCAATAAACGTGGGCAAACAATTTCCTCTCTTTAAAGGCTATTTATGCACTCTGCCATTCCAAACGTTTCTACTGTTCTCACATTAATTTTTATAATAAAAACGCAATGTAAAATTATATTTTTGGTAGATACAAAATTATTTGCATTATAGTATAATTTTATTTTTAAAAAAATTCAAACTTTATTCAATAAATTTTATTATCATAAGTTTGTAACTCTCGAGGAGTACAATGGTAAATCTTTAGTGTCAAAACTTTTAAACTCTTTGTTAATTGAAAACTTTCAACGATCAATTACCTATAAAAAGTAATCAAGTATTTAGGTAGATAATAAATGAATAATAATTTTATTTTAATTTATGTAATTATTTATATTTATCATAATGAACTTGGATTTAGTGAACTTTATTTTTTGATTTATAATCAGGTATAGGTATGTTGATGATAGATTAACCTCTTAATTTAGATTATTTGCTTTGTTAGTTATGTAATTCATATTATTAATGTTTCACGATATGATAGTATCAACTATCTTGATAATCAAGACTGTTGAAACCATTCTAAATAAGAGAAGCATACATAGAGTGATCTTAACATTTGAAATTTACATTTGTAGTTTACTTGTCTTATTATTGATGGAAAAATAATAAAATGTCTTTTTAAATAATATTTTTTAGGTTTTTTTTTTTAGTTTCAAAATATATTTTTTACATTAAAAATGAATTAAAGAAACATGTTTTCATTATTTTAATTTTCTAAAAAAAATCATATAATAAATAAAACAAACATACTTTCCAAAATTTTAAAACATCTTAATAAAAATCATTTAAAAATTAAATGAAAAATAACTGAATAAATTTTTCCCTTTCATTAGAACAACAACAATAATAATAAATAAATTAAAAATAAAACAGTTTATGTTATTGAATTTGGTCCAGCAGGCCCAATCTGAAAACCATCATATGGACCACCCCCATCGTTTTTACGTATAGACGTATAGTCAAATTGGGCTAGCTTGGATGGTAGAAGCAAGACCAAATCCAAGACGACACAAAATACAATTAAATTTGGCTAATGATATATATACACTTATTCATATATATAGCCCACTTTTTTTTATTTTAAAAAAGTGCATATATGATGAGCCTTAAATTTTCTTTTGGGTGATGATATATATACTTCCTATTTTTTATAAATACACCTTTAATTTCTTTTTTTTAAGTAAAATAACCTCTAACTAAATATGATTATGTTGATTGAAACGTTAATTTTAGCATTCTGGAAAGTATTTTCCAGAATAGTAAAATTATTGTTATGAAAAACATTTTCTGGAAGTATGTTTCTTATATAATTCCGAAAAGTTATTTCTGGAACATTAAATTTAGTCTTCCGAAAAATATTTTTTTGAATTATGTAACAAGCACACTTCCAGAAAATGCTTTCCAAAATAAAAAATTTACTTTCTGGAACAAAAGCTTTATTATTCCAAAACAAATAGTGAAAATAATTACTTGGAGAAAAAAATGCATATGATTTGATACATTTTCCTTCGACACTGAACCCGCTTTCAACTTATAACAAGACTAAAAAGGGAAGAGGATAATGCAAAAATTAAAAAGAGAAGGGGAGGTAAGGAGATGTGAAGAAAAAAATAAAGAAAAAGAAACGGGGTGCACAAAGAAGAAAGAAAAATAGTGAAAAGAGAGGTGTGAATCTGAAAAATTATAAATTAGAAAAATATTAAGGATAATTTAAATTTTTTTTAATAAAAAGTATGTATTTATAAAGAAATGGAGGTAAAAAGTATGTATTTATAAAGAAATGGAGGTGTGCATATCATTTGCCTTTTCTTTTTCATTAGAACAACAATAATAATAAAAATAAAATAGTATGTCATAAAGTTGGTCCAGAAGGCCCAATTTTTCCCCCACAATCCCCATCATACCTACTTACAGTCAAACTGGGCTTGCTTAGCAAGACCCAATCCAAAACCACACAATAAACACTTAAATTTAAAAAAATAAAAAAAGAGTGAAACTGAAAACCCTAAATCTCAGTATTTTCTTATACACAAACTCTCCCATTCCCATTCTCATTCTCATTGCCGTGGCAGCGCAGAGAGAGAGAGAGAGAGAGTGACAATGAAGTTCAACCCAAGGGTTTCTAGCAGCCGCCGCAAGAGCCGCAAGGCCCACTTCTCGGCGCCGTCGAGCGTGCGGCGCGTGCTGATGAGCGCGCCTCTCTCCGGCGACCTTCGCTCGAAGTACAACGTGCGGTCGATCCCGGTCCGGAAGGACGACGAGGTGCAAGTGGTGAGGGGAACCTACAAGGGCCGCGAGGGAAAGGTGGTTCAGGTCTATCGCCGCAAGTGGGTCATCCACATCGAGCGCATCACCCGCGAGAAGGTTAACGGCTCCACCGTTAACGTCGGCATTCACCCTTCGAAGGTCGTCGTCACCAAGCTCCGAATGGACAAGGACCGCAAATCCTTGCTCGATCGCAAGGCCAAGGGTCGCGCCGCCGCTGATAAGGAAAAGGGTACCAAGTTTGCTCCTGAGGATATCATGCAGACCGTTGATTAGTCTTCTTTTTTTTATCTCTATCTATATACTCATTTTTACTGCTTTTTGTTGTTTGGAACTTTCGATCGTTTATTAGGGTTTTGTTGAGTTTATTTTGGGGGTCTTGTGCTTTCCATGTTATCGGTTCCGCTATTTTCAGGCCTTGCTGTTTTGTTTAATTTAATGAAATGTTTGACGTTATTGCTGCTAGTGTTGAGTATTGCTTGTTTATTTTTCTTTGTGATTTTCACTGCCGCGCGATTTTGATGAGGTATGTAGGGTTTAGCGTTAGAATGTGGTTGGCTTGGAGATGGAAATAGGTTTTGAGCAATGGAATTGGATTTGTTTGTCTCACAAAGGTTTAATCACTTTTGGTTAAACTATTGTTGGTTTGGGTGCTGGAATTTGAGGTAACATTTTTATTTGTGGATTATCTGTTTTACAAGGAGGTTTGAAGGAGTGAGCTTAGGCAAACTAGCACACCCTTTCTGGTGGACTGTGATATAGATAGGTTTAATTCTAGTGTTATAATCGTAAGATTTGCTGGCTGATGCTTGGAATATGTATGGTGATTGATTCCACCATGCATGTTTTGCCCTCTCTGCCACTCAGTTCTCTTGAGAAAAGCTCAAAGCAAAGGTGCATTTCAAGGTTTATGATTTTTACATGGAATGATGCCTCGAGAAATACGATCTCAAATAACAATGCTTGGTTTCACGATTTGATTGGACTTCAATACGTTTTGTTCCCTATAGTTCCGAACATCCTGAAATTCTTGTTTGATGTTCAATGTCTGTATATTTTGAAGCAAAAACACCTCTCTGCACTTAAATCGACTCTTTTACATAACCTGAACACTTGACTCGTCTTCTCCATATGGATGGACTCACTAATATTTTATTTAAAGGTTATTCATTTTTTAACTTTTTAAATTAGTCAAGTTAAAATGTAATACAAATTACAAAAAAATAATGACTCGCCTTTTTTAGGGCCTGTGTTATTCTATATACCATATTTTAGACTTTTACTATTACTATGTTAGAGGATCTTTGTTTTGTTAGACGTTGAGTCTGTGCTTCATAGGTTATATAAGAAGAGTAGAGTGATAATATATTTGCTTGTCGTTATTTGATTATTGAAATAGAGCAGTGTCCGGGTAGAATGGGGGAGATGTCTAGGCGTTTTGTTTAAGGAGCAAATTTTTACTATCCCTTGACCCTCCACTGAAAGAATGTATGGGTAAGTTAAATTTTCAATGAGAGTAGTAGCTTTCTCATTTTTCAATAGATCTGTTGGCAGTAAACACTGGAAATTTAGTGAAGTGAAAGATAGTCTTGTATTTAATAGATCGTAGCTTTCTCTGCCAGGATCGGAGTATGGTTTGTTTGTCCTGAAATTTTATCTTACCCGAAAGCTGAACCAAATTGCGAGGTGCTCTGCCATATGTAATTTTGCGCTTATTTCAGTTGTGATGGCCTGAAAGGTGAGGGTGGCATCTAGTGTGCATCTTAACACGCCTCCGGCAGAAATTATAATTTCGAAATGATGCTAACTAATGGTTTTTTCTTGGGTGCATCTTAACCCTGAACTATGTATGCTAAACTATATATATATATATATATATATACACACACTAATAGATATTATTTTTAGTAACCACCTTATTCTCCACATTTTGTTTACCTTTCTATTTTAAAAAAATTAAAAAAA